TATATATAAAACAACACAAAAAATAATAAAAATGACAAAAACACACAACAAAATTACTTAAAGTTTAACTAAAATGAAAATGAAATTAGACATTTTAAAAATAAAAATATTAATAAAAACTATAATATTATCTCATGGAACATGGATTACTTTTAGGGTCGCGTGTGCTTTCAATAGAGGGATATGCATTTCTGAAGTTTCATTAAAAATATCTCCATTTGTGTTTTGTGATCAAAGTCTTATGCATTTGGAAAAACAAGCGAGTGAATGATTTTGAACAAATGAACCTGCATTCATTTACATTCAATTCAGAAACACAGTGAAAGAGGAAAGAAAGAAACGACGCATCGCTGACACAATGAACACAGAAATATATACAGTAGAATATCTTACTGTAACCCCTTACGTGTTAAACTAAAACCATAAAAACATTCATGACTTAATAACATTTAATTAAATACAAAAACTTATTTTATTTCAGCTACTTGTCAAAGCATTGTACTAAAATATCTCAAACTAAAACTGAAATTAAAATGGCAAAAACAACAAAATGACAACTTTAAAATACAAATATTTAAACAAAATTCAATATTAATTAATTAAAACAAACTATGATAGTGTCTCAATAATATTGCTATAACCATAGATGACAAATGTGCGACAGATTTCAGTATGCTTTTGTGAGAGAGGGTGAAGTCTATATTTAAAAGCACACTACTAAAGATGAATTAATTTTGCATTAGAAATAAACAAAACACATGATCATTTCTGCTTCTTTATCTCGATTTATGACAATACGCCTACAGATAATGATTTATATTCAGAGCTGCACTGTCATGTTTCAGCCACAGATGGCGGTAGAGAGAGGAGCGCGCACACTTCATTTACAGTCAATGAAAATCAGCAGATGTTCAGTCTGTTTCATGGGTTGTGCTGCCGAGTATTTTGGTATTGACTGTGTGGTGGACAAAATTCATGAAAAAAAATGTATCTCTGAATCTCAAAGTATTTAAACATACGTAAGTTCTCAGAAGCTGAAGTGTTTCTCTTCAGAGACAAAGTTTGCATCACATCCTGAACAAGAACCCAAAGCTCTTGTGAAACCCGAGTCTGTGTGTCTCGTCACTCCTTAACAGACTGCTTTCATTAGACACCAATGTTCCCGTCTCTTCAGCTAAACCATTACAGCAGGTAAGTCCAAACTTTTAATGCACTGGATTCCCCGCGGAGCGTTTCCTCGCTGCTAATGCGGCGCGAGCAACGGCTCGAAATGCACCATTAAACCTGCCGGAGAATTAACTTGGACAGAACTTCATTATGTCACACACAAGGCCTTGCGACTTTAAGATTTCAGGAAAACCAATATTGCTGGCTACAGAAGCGAGTTGGTTCGTTTAGATACATAATTAGAGTCAATCAGCCATGGAGCTGTGGAGAAACACAAACAGGAGAACGATTTTACACACAGAACGAGCAAAAGCAGTGTGTGACGCTTACAGTTATGAAGAATACACACACAGAAAATCTCATTCATACTATATATAAAACCTATATTATAAAACGGATAGTTCTGGTCCTTGATTCTGATTGGCTGAGCCGCGTTTAAACGACTGAGCTGTTGTAAACGACTCTACCTTTGTTTACTTC